AAAGAGCTATTATGACAGACACACACACACACACACACACACAAACACACACACTCTCACACCACCTGCCATGCGTCAAGAGCAGTGCAACCGTGACACCCATCATAGATGCACATACACACACAACCGTATGGATTAGCCAGAATTATTAGAATGGAAATGCAGCGGCAATGTGTTTCACAGTCTTTGGGTCTCCTCTGTCAGTGCTGAGTTAAGCTGAACATCCTCGGTACAGGCTGAGGAAGCCAGTGGAGCGGAGCAGTGAGGAGCTGGCAGACCGGGAGCACTGTGCTCAATACACACACACGCACATATACACGCATACACACACAGCCAACGGATTAGCTCCCTGCAGCAGCACACAGCGGTGCTGCAGAGAAGAGATGTCAGTTTTTAAGTGGCCATTTGTTAAGTTCGGGCAACAACAGAAACATTAGTTTGAGGAACAAGGGACGCATTATGCAAATCAGGGAAAATAAGTCCGAAGCTGCTCGTCTCTCTTCAGTTACACTCCTCGACATCGCCTCTCCCTCTCCTCCATGCTTGTTGATCAAAGGATTTTCTAAATGTGCGCTGTGGTGTGACGGTCAATGTGTGTGTTTTACTTTGTCTCAGATTTATTTTGGACCTCGTTTTTCTCACTTTAGCCTCCAACTGCAGTTTTATTGGATACTTGGACCTAAATCTGCCATGCAGATAGAGCACTTTTTTCCAGTGTATCAGCTTTCTTCCCTTCTACTACTCTTGCCTTGCTTCTTTAGTCCGTGCACCTAATGAATAAAAAAGAAAAAGAAAAATTGTGTTCCAGTTTCCTTCTGAACTCAGACCTGTCCTCTGAGTGAACCGTTAAAAATATTACATATGGTCACTGTACTTTAATTTAGTTCATTGCTTCCTCCTTTATGGACTCCCTGTGCTTGCTGACAGGACCTGGAGGGGATGGGAGAGGGATGTCCTCTAGGTGCCTTGTGTTTTTGTTGCCACAGTGAAGACAAAGGTGCTTGGTAGAGAGTCTTCTTTCCATCTGATTGGCTTAAGGGGCCCTCAGGGCGGTAGCAAATACA